TCTCTCACCTGTTGTTTAGCTTTATGCTCTAGGCAGTGAGGAGCCTAGAGCCTTAATGAGTGTGGGAGGGGTGGGACAAAAGCAGTGTCCCTGGGGGACTGGGGGATCTGTGTGTGGGAGGATGGCAGCAGCCTGGGCGTGAGGCAGGGAGGAGCCTCCTGGTGGAGGAAGTGGGTGGAGATGTCAGAAGTACTTTTCCTCTCCCTAGGGTCCTCTGGTTCTGCTCCTTTGGGTTTCTTGCTTGCTTTTGTTTCTCCAGAGTTGGCTCTCCAGGAGGGAATCAGGAGCCTATTATAATAGACCATTCTGGCTGCTTCTTAACTTTGTATGTGCTGCCCAGGGACTCTTGAGTCCCTTGGAATCATTTAAGTGTCCTCAATCTTCCAGGACAAATTATCAGAGCCCGGGCAGTCCCCTGCCACCGCTTTGGCAGTGCCTGTTTACTGAGCCAGTGAGGAAAGGAGGACTTGATTCTGCAGGCGATGCTTCTTCCTCGACAGTCCTGTCATTTCACTCCCGAGTGTCAGCAGAGGCCGTCAGGCACCCGCGGGTGTTCTGTGGCAGAGCTGGAGTCCCAGAGCTGAAACCGTCCCCTCCGGCACGCCTGGCGCTGGCTCCCTTGTCTGCAGTTGGGCTCACTGCATTTGCTGGCTTGTTGAGATACTATGAACTTTTCTGTTTTCTGCTGTTTTCTTGGTGCCTGTTCTGGCACCGTGTTTACTTACCATAGATGTAGGAGTGGTTATTGTTAACATAGCAGAACCAGTGGTTTGGCTGTTTAATTTTCAGCTTGGTGTGTTTTGTAAAGCTTGAATCCTTCATGATTTTGCATGCAGCTTTCTCTTGATTTGTCTGTGTTAATGCTAAGGAAAATAAGGGAGACATATCAAAATAATTACCCCAAAGGGTATAAGGTCTTGAATATTTTTACCATAGCAAAATAGATGTGATAGAAAAATTTCCATTTTAACCATGCAAAAAAATGCAATTCAGTGGCATTAATGACCCTTCATAATGTTGTACAACATCATGACTGTGTATTTCCAGAACTTTTCATCACTCTAGACAGAGACTCAGTGACCAGGAAGCACTAACTCCCCATTGCCCCCTTCCCTCAGCAACCCTGGTCACCGCTAATCTACGTCTGTGCTGGGGAATGTGCCTCTTGTGGAGAAGTCCTTTATGTGTAATCATACAGTATTTGTCCTTTTGTGACTGCCTGATTTCACTTAGTATAATATATTCAAGATTCATCCGTGTTGTAGCATGTATCAGAACTGTCTTTTTTATGGGTGAATGATATTCCATTGTGTAAATAGGCCACATTTTGTTTGTTCTAGTGATGGAAACCTAGGTTGTTGCTGTCCTTTGGCTCTTGGGACTAATGCTGCTGGGCACGTTGATGTACAGATACCTCCTTGAGTCCCTGTTTTCAGTTCCTTTATGGTGGAATTGCTGAGTCATATTCTAATTCTGTGTTTGGGCCAATTTCATTCGTTCTTTTAGCCTGTTTTACTCACTCTTGCTAGCAATGAGCATTGTGGTTTTACAAACAGTGTTGTTGCTGGTGAGGGTGTGGTGAAAAGAGAACACTCCTACACTGTTGGTAGGATTGCAGTTTGGTGCAGCCAATGTGGAAAAGTGTATCAAGATTCCTTAAAAAAACTGAAAATAGACTTACCCAAAGATCCAGCAGTCCCACTCCTGGGCATATAACCAGAGGAAACTCTGGTTTGAAAAGGTACATGCACCCATATTCATAGCAGCACTATTTACTGTAGC